AAGGGGAGGCTGCTCATCTTGACCAATGACAGGCATTTATTTTGAAGAGAAGGAGGCCTCTGCTGGAGCTGAGCTTGTTTGTCCCTGGGTGAACCAGGGTGATCCTGAGCAACCTGCACTGCTGCCATCATCCTGGGCTGTTTACAGCTCCCTGGGACAGAAAAGTGTATTTTAAAAGGACAGTGTCTGGGTTTCACCACTGGTTTCATCAGCTCCATTTCCACAGAGGAAACCACAGAAGGGTTTTGTGTTGGGTCATGCAACCTTCACACATACAATGAGGGCAGAAATGGTCAGAGTGAGACAAGATGATGAAAAGAAACACAGTGCAGGTTTTATGAATTTATACCCAGTCTTTGAGGGAAAAAAAAAAAAAAACTTAAGATCCAATAAGATAGTAGCCATTCAAATTGGGGGAAAGGAAAAACAAACAATAAGATAAAATAGAAAAAGGGATTAGACTATAACAACTCTGCAAGAAATTGTAGAGATTTGGCTCTGAACTTTCATGCAGCGAAACTAGAAAAGGAAACCTGATCAGCTGTCCTAGCCTCAGAGTCTGCACGATGAACAGCCTGGAGAGGGGTTTGGGTACAGAAAAGTAGAGGCCAGGACCAGTTGCAGGCTGTGCTGCCCTGAAAACATCACAGTGGACAAGGAGCATAAATCTTTGTTGAGGTGTGTGGTCTGAGCTGCCTCATTTTCTCAGGGCTTTAGTGTATGTACAGTTAAATTTCTCACAAGTGTGGAAAACACACAGTCATCTTTAGTCTACATTTCTTGGTTGCTATATGTTCTAATCCTACTTTCTGTTTTTTTGAGACAGAGCCTTGCTCTGTCACCCAGGCTGGGGTGCAGTGGTACAGTCTCGGCTCATTGCAGCCTTCTCCTCCTGGATTCAAGTGATTCTCCTGCCTCAGCCTCCCGAGTAGCTGGAATTACAGGTGCCCACCACCACGCCCAGCTAATTTTTGTATTTTTTGTAGAGACGGGGTTTTGCCATGTTGGCCAGGCTGGTCTCAAACTCCTGACCTCAGGTGATCTGCCCGACTTGGCCTCCCAAAGTGCTGGGATTACAGGCGTGAGCCTCCACACCCGACCTTAATCCTACTTTCTTTTTGCTATAGGGTAAGTCATGGTACTTGATTCCAGCAAGTGTCCGTTTTGCCAGTGTCTCATTTTGTTGTGAGTGGTGCTAGAAACAGCTCATTGCTGTGGTGCTTGTGGGATGCTGAATAAATCCCATATACTTTGATTTCAGAGCTCATCTAGGTTTCCCTATGTCAGTGACTATCTTGCATGAGAATAATTAAAATACCTTGTCTTTAAATATAATGTTGTAGATTACAAAGTATTGGCCTTTTAGAGACATTCCTGGGAAGTCAGTTGTTGGCCTTATCTCGAGCTTCGAAAAACTAAATCTTAGTAAAACAGGGAGCCAGAAGTGAGAAGGCGATGCTGGGGATTTTAGTCTTACACCCATATGTGGTGTTCTATAAGAATGACTAGTTTAGTTTTCAGGATTTTTTTTCTTTTTCTTTCTTTCTTTTTTTTGGTATATTGTGTTCCTGTGATGCTTTTTTGCAATAGTTGTTTTTGGGTGATTAAAAAAAAAAAAAGTTGAGGCCACAAGTCTTATAGTGAATGTAGTATTTCTTGTCTGTTGAACACCTACCCTGAACTACCCTCCACTGCATGCCCTGCCCCCTCTTGAGATGTAAGGATGAGGTACTGAGGATCCAACGGGAATAGCTGGCCAAGCATTGAGTATCAGGAAGCTCCTTCTGTGGCAGCAGGTCACCTCCTGCTCTCTGAAGGCAGCAGAGGGGAAGTGACAGGTCCAGAGGTCAAAGGCATCAGGAGGCCTGGAATTGAGCCTGCACCTCAGACTCCGCACCCAGGGTCGTTTCTGTGAACCCAGACTTAGCCACTCACCTTCTCCGCAATAGACCCGGGGCAGCCATGTGCACCTGGTGCAGAAGAGAGATTATGTACGGTGAGGAAGGGCACTTAGCTGTCCTGGGACTGTCTCTAGGACCATAATAAGGTGGAAACCATGTCTATGTAGATAACTTCCCTATGGAGTTTACAGCAACCATGTGATGTACACTTTTGGATTACAAAGTCTTAAAAGCATAAATCTGAGCTACTGCCTGTTCCTCTGCCCCCTCCTAGCATACCTGCTCAGCAGACAAGTCCATACCTGCTGGGCCACCCCTGTCTTCCATCTCTCTCCTGAACCTGCTACTCCAGGCTCTCCCCCGCACCATCCCCCGACCCCCATCCCCCTAAAGCCCTCCAATTTGCCAGATTCAATTGCAATGTCTCAGTTGCATCTTAGCTGACCTGTGACCAGCAGTGAGCACAGCTGACCGCTCGCTTCTGTTTGATATGCTTTCTCCTGGGTTCCACCCTCTGTCTGTTCTCTTCCCTCACCTACCCCTGTGCCTCCTTTGCCAGTGTCTTCTCTGCCAATTCAGAATGTTGTTCCCAGAACTGAGTCATTAGGTTTCGCCTTGCTCGCCCTCACTCCCTAGGTGGTCTTTCTAGCCCCTCCCACCCAGTTCTCTCTCCATCTTTGTGTTCAACTCTACCTCTCCACTGAATACCTCTCAAAGAAACTCACCTCCAAATCTTTGCCCCCAGCAGCCTTTCTTTTTCCAGTTGTTTTGGACATAGGTTTTCCTTCATGTCCTCCTGTTTCTGCTTCTCTCCTTCCTGTCTGCTTCCCAGCTCTCTGAGCCTCTCTCCTGTGCACCTTGTGGACCCCGCAGCCTCAGGCGGCTTGCCATGCCCTGCAGGGCTCCCTCTTTCGATTCTGCTGCCCCTTTTGCCGCTTTCGCCTTGCTCCTCTATGTGTCTTCTGCTTCCTTCTGAGCTCCCAGTATTAGGTCCTGCTGTTACATTCGGCTCTAGGGTCCATGTCACGGCTCCCTCTCGGCTTTGATGGAATCTCTCTCTGCATAGTTAGGGGGACCATTCATTTACCTTTCAGAAAGCTCAGTTTTTATCCTGGGGAGGGCAGCCTTCACACAGCAACACTTAAAACATTTCCTTTTCCCAGGGAACAGGTGATATTAACCATCCCATCCTCTCTGTTGCATCCCATAAACAGCATCCATGACAGCGTGGAGCTTTGTGGCTTTCCTCACTGACTCTTACCACCAGTCACAGATTTTAGCAATTGTCGCCAGCCCCAGGGGACAGACCAGCCATGGAATGATCTACATCACAGCAAATTAGTCCATTTATCTCTAGAGTTTAAATTTATTTCCCCCAATCGGGGAGTTGCTGGGTTAACTTGGCCCATAAAGGGGGGAGCGGGGAACTTTTACATATGGCTTTAAAAATCTTCAATATTGCAGGTGGGAATTGCCAGATATTTGGAACCCCTCTGCTGTGTCGGCAATCCAGCCACTGCCCAGGCTTTAGTTAATTAATTCAGTTTTAGGCGGATTCCCAGTGAACACTGCTGTTGTTTATTGAGAAGTATATCCTGACATTTCTCAACTAAGGAATATTTTTACAATTTTCATGGCAAAATTCATTCAGAATGCAAGCAGGGGTCAGAATGACATTGCAGTTGGACGGCCTGAAAGGTTGCTTTGTGAGACCGTGTAAACCATGCCCGCGTTCACCAGAGCATCTGTTGAAAAACATCTCCTGTATCCAAGTGACCCAGCCACCTGTTGTTAGGACGCCAGCAATCAAGCATGCCGAGACACTGAGACCCTGGAGGCATCTGCAGCACTGCCTGGGCCTGGGCAGCCTGCTGTCCCCTCTGCCTTGTGGCCATCTCATTGCCTCCTGGCACCTCCCTTCTTCCGTGGGAAGAAGCTAGAGTCCAGGTTGACTACCTGCAGGTTCTCTAATGAAACACAAGAAAGAGAGTGAGCTTGAAATACCTGTGGATTGATGTTACCCGAGCTGCTCTAAGATTCTTCTAGCTACTAGCTATAAAGGGCCTTGTTTTGCTTGCTGGGATGACACTCAGCTAGTTATGTCTGAGTTGGTTCTTCAGGCACAAAGAAAAAAGCATTTGTGATACAGGTTTCTTTCTGTCTGTCTTGTGCCCAAGGAGTATATTTGATAGAGACCAGCTTGGGTTAAGTGAGTAGGGGACAGGTCAGTTTTTGGCCATGAAATAGAGCAGACACTGGAAATACGCCATGAGCCACCAACTCAAAGAAAAAGCACTAAGTTGTTGAACTTACATTTTTAAAAGAAGGCTTTTATGAACGAATTCAAACTTAGCCTAAGCCTGTGTCTTCCCTTCCCTCCCCTCCCCTCCCCTCCCCTTTCCCTTCCCCTTTCCTTCTTCTTTTTTTTTTTTTTTTTGAGACAGAGTCTCACTCTGTTGTCCAGACTGGAGTGCAGTGACATGATCTCAGCTCTCCCGGGTTCAAGCAATTCTCCTGTCTCAGCCTCCCAAGTAGCTGGGATTACAGGTGTATGCCACCATGCCAGGCTAATTTTTATGTTTTTAATAGAGACAGGGTTTCACCATGTTGGGCAGGCTGTCTTGAACTCCTGAGTTCAAGTGATCCGCCCCCTTCAGCCTCCCAAAGTGCTGGGATTACAGGCGTGAGCCACTGCACCCAGCCACCTGTGTATTTTCTAAAGCTATTGAGCTGGACAAGAAACAAAATATCTCCATAGTTTGTCTAAACAAAATCAGAATTGAGTTGCATTTATTCACTTTGAGACCCCAATCACATGAAGCTTCTTGGTACCCTTTGGGTTTAACATTGGCCTCTCTGGCCTCACATTGATCTTTCCTTGGGATTCTATTTTATGCACTGTTCAGGGCCGATATCATTATAGCCACTTTATTTGTGAAGAAATTGAGGCAGAGTGGCCAAAGTGACTTTCTCAGATTGACACAGGCTCTTAGTGATGGAGCTGGGCGCAGAAGCCAAGTCTTTTGGTAGGGGGGTGGTGGAGCCCTTGTGCCAAGAGGAGCACCTGAGAGGGCTTCCCTGATTCTTCTCTGTCCCCAGGAGCTGAGAGGACGCAGGGAACTGAGGCTGTCTTTAGGACTCGGTCATAGGTGCCCAAGGCTCTCTGCCTCTTGCCTCGAGGACATTAACTCTGGAAATTCCACTCCCAGGACCTTTTCTCGGAAACCCCAAGGAGGGGAACTACTCAGAGGCAGGTGTGGTGAACATCTGGAGCTCCCTCCTCCTCAGGGGTCTACTTGTCACCCTCGGGGTTCTGCTTGTTAGCCGATATTTTGTAGTTGTCCTCCTTTAAATTTTTCAAAATTGATTTTTAAAATGTGTTTTGGACCTAAAGTGTTCTCTGTATTTGCTGTTTTATTCTCTTTCCCTGTTTAAAATTGATTTTTAAGTCCAGCACTTTTTTTTGTTTTTTTCCCCCGAGACAAACTATTAACGTGAACATCCGGGTTTGTCTCTTGGTGTTTTCCAGACATTCTAAGTGAGACTGTCCGCATCATCTAGGAAAATGGTGGCCCTGTCCTTAAAGATTTGTGTCCGCCACTGCAACGTGGTGAAGACCATGCAGTTTGAACCATCTACAGCTGTGTATGATGCGTGTCGAGTCATTCGGGAACGGGTACCTGAGGCACAAACTGGGCAAGGTAGGTCATGGGTTATTTACTGGCTTCTTAAAATGTGTTTGCATGTTTTTCACTTTTTGGCTAAAGAGACAGAGGCTCCAAGTGGTACACACGCCTATTAGTGCCTATGTTTCAAATGAAATGTCTTCTTAGATCAGACACTACCTGCTTCCTCTGTGAGACTTGTGATGATAATGACCATGCCCACCACTGAGTCATCACTGTTATTGTGCCCAGCAACTTGACCCTCCCATACATGAGGATTATGCTCTGCAGTTTACAGATCACGTTCTCATGTATCATCTCGTCCCAAGAAAGTGCAAGTGAAGCTGCCCTAACAATATTGGCGATATGTGTCCTAAACCCTATTTCCCATGCTGAACGCTTTCCGCTGCCATTGAAACCAGGGCAGGTCTTATATTTCAAGTTTTTTTTTTTTTTTTACAGGGACTTTATACATTTTATCTCAAACTTTTAAAAAAAGACATTTGTGATACATGTTTTGTTTGAAGTTTGGCTAAATCACTCATCCCCATTAATCTGAGTTTAAACAAAAGCCACTTGTACCATTTTATTTTCGCCTTCCCTTTGTCTTCTCTCTATGTGTCTTTCCTTTATTTAGTATTTATGTGACAGGCAGTTGAGAAATTGGATCCCTTCCAAATCAGTATGTCTTTAGTGTGAAAGTGGGATAAAACATCTTAAAAATGGAAAGAGTAGGCCAAGCATGGTGGCTCACACCTGGAATCCAAGCACTTTGAGAGGCCAAGGCGGGAAGATCGCTTGAGCCCAGGAGTTAGAGACCAGCCTAGGCAACAGGGTGAAACCCTGTCTCTACTAAAGTCTGAAAAATTAGCTGAGTGTTGCGGTATGCGCCTGTAGTCTCAGCTATTGGGGAAGTCGAGGCAGGAAAGTAGCTTCAACCCAGGAGTTTATGGCTGCAGCAAACCGTGATCCAGCCACTGCACTCCAGCCTGGGTGACGGAACGAGACCCTGACTCAAAATAAAAGGAAGAATAAAAATCAAACATCACAACAAGGGTAATTATAAATACAAAAATCTCTTCTTGAAAAGATCTGCTTTTCATAAAATTCTTTTTGGTCTGAAACATGACGACGATGATGATGATGATGATGATGATGATGATGATGATTTTTTAGATGGAATCTCACTCTTGTTGCCCAGGCTGGCAATGGTGTGATCTCGGCTCACTGCAACCTCCACCTTCCGGGTGCAAGCAATTCTCCTGCCTTAGCCTCCCAAGTAGCTGGGATTACAGGTGCGTGCCACCACACCCAGCTAATTTTTTGTATTTATAGTAGAGACGGGATTTCACCATGTTAGCCAGGGTGGTCTTGAACTCCTGATCTCTGGTGATCTGCCTGCCTCGGCCTCCCAAAGTGCTGAGATTACAGGCGTGAGCCACCGCGCCTGGACGGTTATTTTTTGAGACAGGGTCTCGCTGTGTCACTGAGGCTGGAGTGCAGTGGCCCCATCACACTTTACTGCAGCCTCAACCTTCCAGGCTCAGGTGATCCTCTTGCCTCAGCCTCCTGAATAGCTGGGACTGCAGGTGCACACACCAGCACACCCAGCTAATTTTTGTATTTTTTACAGATACGAGGTCTCGCTATGTTGCTCAGGCTTGTCTCAAACACCTGTGCCCAACTGATCCACCAGCCTTGGCCTCTCAAATTGCTAGGATTACAGGCGTGAGCAACTGCGCCCCCTGGCTATTAAAACATTATTTATGTTATTAGTAGTGTTTCTAGATTACTTAGAAATAAGGTTTGCTACATCCCTAACTTTCCTCTACTGTTTGGTTGTCTAGTCATTTCTGTCATTTCTGATGCCTTTACTTTTCTGTTCCCTTTTTCTGTTGTTTTCTGCCAGATTTTTTTTTTTTTTTTTTGGTTGGGGGTGGGGAGCTTGATTGCTATATAGTGCTGGTGAAGGTATAAACCTTTAAAGATTTTGAAGTTGCTTTTCTAAGAAACAGCAGGAGCTCTTACCCTCAGCTGGGTCTCAGAAGAAAGAAAGAAATTTTGGGGGTAGGAAATGGTACTGCTCCTCTCCTGCCACCCCGCCCCCTTCGTACTTCCTATGTCAGATTCAGGGGTTTCTGCAGAGAACACCAAATTTAATTTTGCACCTTTTACATAATTTGTTGGTGTTCGGGGTCAGAGGCCTTATCTCACAAGGGACTCCTGTGCCTCTTTTAGACTGCTCAGTTGGGATGATGGAGGGGTCACTGGAGACATAAAGGCTTCATTTGTCCCCCTTTGCATGAGTGGCCTTGGGCTTAGGTGGTCACTTCCTTAGTTTCTTCACCGCTGTCCTGTCATCCTCCATGAGATGTTGGTCTGGTTTTTATCGAAAGGGATAGAGAACAAGCTCAAATTCAGTTAGAAGGAAATTTGGACTGCTTCTAAATTTTTCTACATTTTAGACACAACTACAGCCCACCGGTTTTAGGAAACACAGACCTTAGTTGTGGGCGTTGCTTCTGCAACTCAACTCTTACTCCTCCAGATCTGCTGCAGTCCCGGCGGCTGCTGGTGTTGTCAAAACGAAACATTTCTGTCTGGTGAAGGAGAACACCCACATCCTTGCTGAGTCAGCAGGCTCAGCGCCTGGAAGTCAGCGATGGCTTCATCACCACTTTGCCTACTGTTTTTCTTCCCATCTATATTTCAGCTTCTGACTATGGACTGTTTCTTTCGGATGAAGACCCCAGGAAAGGGATCTGGCTGGAAGCGGGCAGAACACTGGATTACTACATGTTGCGGAATGGGGTATGCTGCCGATCCCAGTGCTGTTTCTTCATCCCTTTGTCCCTGGGCCTTCCATAGACGCCAACACGGTTACGCTATTTTGATTCAAGGGCATCTTATTAATAGTTCGATGCATTGTACTCTCTAAGGGCTGTTCAGGTGGTGATAGAAAATACCAGATATCCAAATTCTTGAGATTCCATAGAAGGATTGAAGCAGTTCGAGGTTAGTACTTTAAGTAGTTTCCACATGGCGTTGTTGGATTTGGTAATTGTGAGATAAGATACGGCATCTTGCTATAAGTATGGAAGAGATATTCCTATGCCTGGTGATGGGAAGTAAGAACAGATGAGAGGGAAAACGAAATGTAACCCTAACGGTAGTTAGAGACTGAATATTAGTGTTTTGTTTCTGAAAAAGAAACTTCAATTTGAGATGTGAGTTTAATAATGATCAGTAGTAGTAACAGCAACAACAAAAGTGGTTGTGTTATGGAAGTAGGGAGAAGTCATGAGTAAAAACATATTAAACGTTTTGGTCAGCTTAACCTCCAAGATACCGGGTTTTGGTATGTAGGATGAACTGGACCCATCAGATTGATGGGTAGTCCATAAAGTCAGAGTGAAATAGGTGATGCCAATTAATATGGATAAGAAATTAATAGTTTAGTTTTAGGAAGTTCATAGTTCTAGTTTTAGGAAGTGTAGTCAACAAGTTACTTAAAAATATCCCCCCGAACATGTTACCCCTGTTTGGTCTTGTCATTAATGTATTTCAGCACACTATTTTGAAAAGCACTATTACTGTGTTATGCCACTGCTGTGAAGAATGATGAGGATGCTATTTATGTCTTTCATTGTTTATAATATATAAGGTAAAAATGTGTTTATAGTAAAAATTAAAAACATTTTTATATGCAGATAGTAAAGACATAGAGATCGTAAAAGTTGATTATGACAGTGTTAAAAGATAATTGGAGACACACACTGCTGTCTTTTGAAAAGGCAAGTAGTCACCTCCCTCTGCTAATTCTCCTTAGAACACATCATTCCCAGCCTTTCAGGAGGTCATACTCTACTTTCATTTCACTGATGATAGTTTTCAGTAATTGTGAGGCATAAGTATGACTTCTTTGGGCACAATTTTGCTATCAGATTTTTAAGAAATCTTTATGAAAGCAGTTATTTAGCACTGGAGATTCTGTTTTATCATAGTGGCAACAATCCCCTGAAAACTTTGAAAGGTTTTCAAAGATGTTTTAGAAGAAAGAGGAAATCAGAGTCTACTCTGATTTTTTGAAAATTCTTTTTTTAAAGAAAAGTGTCCCAAGTTTGTTATTTATTTTCCCACACAGTGTGAAATTTGTGTGTGGTTTGTGCTCTAGGATATTTTGGAATATAAAAAGAAACAGAGACCTCAGAAAATCCGGATGCTGGATGGATCTGTGAAGACGGTGATGGTGGATGATTCCAAGACTGTGGGGGAGCTCCTGGTCACTATTTGTAGCAGAATAGGTGAGCATTCATAAACCTTCATTATATCTTTTGTTTAGTTTTTAATTACAGGCCTCTTTTTTTTTCCACCTGCATTTGATCTCTAGGCAACTTTGAATATGTCTTAACATGCCGAGTTCTGCCCAGTCCCCAGAGGGTGTGTCCATTCTCCCAACTTGCCAATACATGAAACATTTGGACTTCTCACTAAGTCATAGTGGAGGGCTTTCATTTCCCTCTCCAAAACAAGGAGATTTTCAAATGGAAAGTCATGTGTAGTTCAGCCTTCTGCCCATTGCTGCCTTCTATTCTATACGAGCCCTGTAGATGTTCACTATCTCCTTGGGTACTTATGATGACAGTCCATATGATTGATTATTAGACAGTTTTTCTTCTTGTGGCTTCCATTAGTCTCCCCAGAGAACAAGTCTGCCTCCTTTCTAATGAAGCCCTTCAAATATTTGAAGAAAATAGACTTGCCTATCTTAGTTTTCTCTTCATGCAAAGGGAGCCCAGTTCCTTCAGACACTTCTTGTTTGACACTGTCTTGCCTTCTTCTGCATGACGTCCTCTGTGGCAGTGTTTCCCCAAAATTATTATAGGTGAGAGAATTGAATGTGACATAAGTTTTACTGTAAGTGTGACTTCTTTGGGTACGATTTCACTACTACATTTTTAGGAAACCTTTATGAAAGCAATTACTTAGCACTGGAGATTCTGTATTATCATAGTGACCACAACCCTGTGAAAATGTAGGAAGGTCTTCAAAGACATTTTGGAAGAAAGAGGAAATCGGAGTCTGATTTTTAAAAATTTGTTTTTGAAAAAAAAGTGTTCAAGTTTGTTACCTGTTTTCCCCCACAGTGTGAATATGACTTAACTAGCTGAAGCTCCCTCATTTAGTTTGATGTGGCCACCTCCCTGACCCTCACGTTAGCAAGGCTGTTTCTGGTTCTTTGCCCCCAGGAGCTCCTTGGAATATCACAGGCCTTAGGCTGGAAGAGGTTGACAGTAATTTAATTATTTATAATTGTAACCTAATTTCCAATTTTTAGGAATAACAAATTATGAAGAATACTCCTTAATCCAAGAAACTATTGATGAAAAGAAAGAGGAAGGAACGGGCACACTCAAAAAAGACAGGACACTGTTACGAGATGAGAGGAAAATGGAGAAGTTGAAGGCCAAGCTGCACACAGATGATGACCGTAAGTGTTTGCAGAGGAAGCATGATATAGACACACAGGCTTTGCTAAGCCTTACTTCCCTCCCACCATCTATATGACCCAGGACAGGATTTTTGTCTTTGTTTCTTAAAACTCTATTTAAAAAAAGTAGGCTGGGCACAGTGGCTCACGCCTATAATCCCAGTACTTTGGGAGGCCGAGGCAGGTGGATTACCTGAGGTTGGGTTTGAGACCAGCCTGGCCGATATGGTGAAACCTCATCTGCTAAAAACACACAAAAAATTAGCTGCACGCTGGTATTCCCAGCTACTCAGGAGGCTCGGGCAGGAGAATCACTTGAACCTGGGAGGTGGAGGTTGCAGTGAGCTGAGGTCGCACCATTGTACTCCAGCCTGGATGACAGAGTGAGACTCTGTCTCAAAAAATAAATAAATAAAAATTTTTTAAAAAGTAACTGTAATACCATTTCACATCTAAAGAAATATCTTAATATCAGATATACAAATCATGTTCACATTGGCTTCATTATTGTCTAAAAATGTTTTTAGTAGTTTGAACTGGCATCCAAATAAGGTTGAACAAGTTAATTAATTAGTGAATTAATTTGTTTTACTAAGAGTCTTTCCATCTCTCTTTTTTAATGGACTAATACTAATGATGTATATTTATGGGGTGCAGTGTGATATATCTATGTAGACATTGAAGAAGGATTCAATCAAGCTAATTAACATATCCATCACCTCACTAATTTATCTTTTTTTGTAGTAAGATTGTTAAAAATCTATTATTAGCATTTTTGAAATATATAATGCATTATTATTAACTGTGGTCACCACTCAGTGTGATAGTTCATGTCTTTTTGCAGTTTTTGTGTATGTGAAAAAACCAAATTCTTACTTGTACAGCATTTCGTACAGTCTGGATTTTCTTCATTGCATACCTATGGTGTCATTTAACATGTTCCTCTGTCCCTTTTAATTCCTTAGATCTGGAGGCTTGACTAGATTTAAGTGTTTGTGTTTATTTTAATAAAGATGCTTTCTTCAGTGGTGATGAGCACTTCCATCAGGAATTGTTTCTGGTTTTCTTTTTTGGGGGGATGTTTAACATCCATCAATGACCATTGCCTTAGACCCATTATTTCCTTAGGAGTTAAAAATAGTAATAGTGGATTGGGCGCGGTGACTCATGCCTGTAATTCTAGCAGTTTGGGAGGCTGAGGTGGTTGGATCACTTGAGGTCAGGAGTTCGAGACCAGCCTGACCAACATGGTGAAACCCTATCTCTGCTTAAAAATACAAAAATTAGCCGGGTGTGGTGGCACACGGCTGTAATCCCAGCTATGCAGGAGGCTGAGGCAGGAGAATTGCTTGAACCTGGGAGGCGGAGGTTGCAGTGAACTGAGATTGTGCCACTGTACTCCAGCCTGGGTGACAGAGCGTGACTCTGTCTCAAAAAAAAAAAAGTAATAGAATTCTATGATTGGAAAGTCATTTTCCATAGCTACACAGTTAATTTGTGGAAAAGCCAGCATGTAACCCCTTGTGTCCCTAAAGCCCATGCTGTTTGCACCTTGCTGCCTGACCCTCCACTGAAAGGGTCTTAATTTATTACCCAGTCCACCTAGACTTCCTGGCCTCTTTCCTCCTTTTATTGTATTTGTTCTTGTGGCTGTATCGGGACGACATCATTATTGCCATTGTGTTTATTGATCTTCTGTGAGGCTCTCATTTCCTCTGACCCTTTGTGTGCTTTTTTTTCTTTCTGCCTAATTTGATTTGCAGTTATATACTTCTTTCCAAGAGACTTTAGTAGAAAAATCCCAAGGACTTATTATTATGTGCAAGATACTCTCCCAGGTACTGTGGGAGATGTGGGAGACACGTTTTCTGTACTCAGGTTGCTTATAATCTAGAGACACTGGTGGTAAGGACTTAACTCACAATGTGTTTTAAGCCCGCAGAGGAGTGTTGGAGTGAGAGCTGTGAAAGTGTAGAGGGGAGTGATCAAATCCTGTACACATAGATGAGAGAACAGGGTTCTCAGAATGACTGAGATTTAAGCTGACCCATGGCACGGTTCTGCCAGCCCCCCTTTACTGTTGTCTCCCCCACTCCCTCCATACTTTCATTTTCTTTCTCTTTTCTACTTGAGGTCAGAGGTAACTTATTATGCTCAGAGCCTCTGAATCACTTTATTAGCTGAGACTGGAGTATCTGCCCTCCACCCTGCCACCGGAGAGGCAGCATATTACACATTCATTATAGTGCTTTAGCTATAACTTTAGGAATGACTGGGAATTTTCTCCCTCATTTCCATTTTGGCTGGTCATTTGGTAGATGTGAAATTATTTTGCAAAGCTTAAAAACCACAGTACTAATGTAAGAAGTAACTATAACTAAGTATCAGAGTTACAGAAATCTGCATCACACTGCTCTTTTGGTAAATTCCCTTTAATTAAGAGGAAAAATAAACACAGTTCTCTTATATGTCTTGTTGTGTTGCAGTAAATTGGCTGGATCACAGCCGAACATTCAGAGAACAAGGAGTAGATGAAAACGAAACGTTGCTGCTTAGACGGAAGTTCTTTTACTCTGATCAGAATGTAGATTCGAGAGACCCTGTGCAGCTGAACTTGCTTTATGTTCAGGTACAGTATTTACTGCTCAGACACTGAGGTTGATGAGATTGCAGGAAGCTCCTGGCTGTATCTTGTGGCGAGCAGGAGGGCGGCGCTGGCTTCTGCCACGTTTATGGCATCGTTTCCAGCAGGCATTGCTCCTGGGTCCAAGCATGTGTTTGGTTGTGGTGCAGGTTGATATTCTGGATGAGCAGCTGACCATCCGGAGTAGGGCCTCCCTAAGGCTTCCCAGATTGTGACCTGGTAGCCAACACTGTCCCTCTCTGCCGGACTTTGAGAGACAGCTGTATTTCACTTCACTGGCTCACCACTTCAAGTGCACTAAAGGTTTCTTAGCTGACATCTTAGATTGCAAGAGAATATTGGTCAGAAAATCAGGACTTCTCATTAACTAGAAGATATCCTCTCAATAATCTTTCATGTGGTTACCCTTAAGTAATTGTTAAACTGACAAGCCATTTAACATGTCTGAGTTTCCCAGTGTGAAGATGTGGATTGTACTGGATTGTCCCCAAGGTTGCTTGTGGCTCAGGGAAAACATCATCCATCTTTGTCCTCTCCTGCCAGCTTCCTTTCTTCCTTTCTTTCCCTCCCTCCCTTTCCTCTCCATATTTATCCATCTATCTGCCCATAGAAATAATGTGGAGGTTGGCAAATTACAGTCATGCCTTTTGCCTGTACTTGTGAATAAAGTTTTATTGTAACACAGCTTATGTATTCAAGTATCACATATTGATAAATCTCCTTGAGGGTTATGTAGTTGTTATACATACCTTCTGTGGCTCTTCTCGCATTCCCGTGACAGAACTCAGTAGTTGTGACAGAGACGGTGTGGCCCAGGAGGTGTGAAATGTTTACTGTTTGGCCTTTTGGAGAAGTTTCCTGACCCCTGACTTAGTGGATGGAAAGATGGCATGGAAAGAGGGCTGAGAGGAAAGAAGTGGGGAGGCCAAAAGGAGAGAGATAGCAGGGCAGTGTAAAGATGCTTGTTGGCTTAAGGCTCAGAGTGATAGCTGAGTGTGTCCATCTTTGGGTGATTTGGGGGTCATTTAGAGAAAGAAAGGCAGAAAGGAGGGCAGGGGAAAACAACAGCAGTGATGGATGGAGAACTGGGAGGAGGAGGAGTTCAGACACAGCAAGCTCCCCATTTTAGGATGCATTCGCTTGTCCTTTCCCCTACTGTCTTGAGTATTGAGTTCTTGTCTGTGTGTGTGTGCGCCTATCGCCTTTCTTTCTCTTCTTCTATTACATTGGTCTTTATCTGGGGATGGGGGTTGGGTTGATTTTACCTCTAGATATTTGATTAGCTAGCTTTATGATTTAGGATTATAAAAAGTACACTGAATTTGTCTTTTGGCCTCTTTGAAGCTGATCATTTCATATGAATTTCCTTGGCCTCTTTTTATAATCACTTCTGCCTTTCTCAGTTGTCGTCAGACTTTGCTTTTGCTATACCGGACATCTCTAATGTTTTCCATCTACAGGCCATTTTGGACAAAGGTTTGTTTTTTTTTCGCCTTAGTTTTCTCCCATGTGGTGATCATCCACTGTGTCCTGCACATGTCACCGTGGGTCGGCTGGCACTGTCCCCTGCTCCACAGAGAGAGTGTGCTGGGCCATGGGAATGTGTCAGTGGAGAGAATGCGTCACTCCCCCAAACCTCTGATGTTTTTCCTCCTTCTTGTGTTTCAGGCTCGGGATGACATCCTGAATGGCTCTCACCCTGTCTCCTTTGAGAAAGCTTGTGAGTTTGGTGGATTTCAAGCCCAGATACAGTTTGGACCTCATGTGGAACACAAACATAAACCTGGATTTTTAGAGTAAATGACATTTTGATTTTCTTTTTTTCTCTTTTCTCCTCTCTTCTTTTCCTTTCACCATTTTTTTTTTTTTTTTGAGCTAGGTATCTAAGATCATACCCTAATTTCATCATTTGTGAGAATGCTAGCTTTTCTTCAATCAAGTAGATGACCAAATTTGCAGATTTTGGGGAAAGCAAGATAAACTGAGAAGTTTTTCTTGCTGAATAGAAATTCAGTGATCTGTGTCCCCCTCCACCCCCTTTTTTTTCCTTCTACTTCATCTTAGTGAAGAGGAAAGTTAAAAAAAAAAAAAATCCACTCCAGTAGGGCCATGGTGTGAACGCCAATGGGGGAGTAAGGGGGAGGGACATGAGCTTTCCTGTAGGATGTGCCAGTCAGCATGAGATGTGTCCAGTAGGCCATTCATGGTATTGTGCGTTCATTGTATTGGTTCAAGTGTATCGCAGGGAGAGGATAACGGAGAGGCTTCTTTGACCCTTGTCCCCACTTTCACTTTGGTGGAAAGTAATTGGGACCAGTATATGCCTTTGAGTAAGAAGAAAAGTTAACTTTTCTTCTGGTGCCAGAGAATGCCTGGCCAATATGCTGTTTGGTCTAAACTGAGTTGTTAACCCCGCAGAAAGCAAACCTCTGCCCTTGGGTTAGTGAATCCCAGGGAGCCTTTACAAGGTGATGCTGTGTCCTGCAGTGTGCCACACATTGTGAGTCTGAGGCTGAGGATGGCTCTGAGCAGTTCCTGCCACCTACTTAGTTCTGTATTCTCCAAATGAGTCATACAGCCGGGTGTTCCTCAGGGCCCGCTTTTACCCCACTCGTCTGGCTTCCTTCCTCAGGAGCCTCAGGAAGCGTCCCCTTCTGTTCAGCCACCTATCGAAGGCCGTGTGCACAAGTTCCTTTAGCAGTTTCCACATTCCCACCTTCTAGCCTCACAGCTGGCCCCTCAGATACAACTGATGTCATCAGCCTGAGGATTATGGCCACGGATATTGAGGAATAAACACCAAGAGCTAGTGAGGCCTAGGAGGAAACAACATTCTGTTTCTGTTTTTAAAGTGCCTGGTGACAAATAGAAAATGGAGGGAAGATTGATGAATCAAAAAAATGGAAATAAAACGTTTACCTGTTTTTAGACTTTTGTAGCTGTGAATTTTTATGTCTCCCTGGTAGGAAGGAGATCCGAATGTAGCCATTCACCGGGTTCTCATATTGATGACGATGCCACCCGGGTCATTTTATTAGCTCACTTTCTCCATAGCCCTGGGGCAACTAGTTCTCAGGACTCCCTTGTGAATTGAGAACATAGTATTTTATTTGATAGATACGGAAGAAGCAGGAGAGAGAGAAGTGGCTTATTCACAGTTAAAGAGTTTCTCTGCAAATAGCTTCTGACTTCTAACACCAGGCTCTCATTTTGAAAGGCATTCCTACTTTCAATGAAAGGCAAAGTTGCCCCTTTTACTGGTCTCCCACTATGCAGCAAAGGAACTTAAAACTGGGATTACAGGGTGCTTTGGTCTGTTTCCTAGTATGATGGATCGTACCAACCAAATCATCGTGAATGTTCCTGTACAGCTGACTGCCTGTGTCGAGATTACAAACTAATATCAAAGCATTGGTACTGGTCTTAAAAGTACATACTGCAGTTTGTGGTCCTATTGAATGCTACACACTCACACTCCAGCAGCAGTATTCTTCTCTTAATAATCTGAGACCACAAGAGTTAAGCAATTGCGTTGAGTTCGTTTCTTTTTTTCCTAAGATTATAATATCAAGTTTATGCCTGTAGTGGTACCTGCACCCTTATTCAGATTCCAAATTAAGGTAATTTTGCCTGGTGGCAATTATTTTTCCTTACGAATTTGATTTACTTTTTAATTAGGCCAAATTAGGTAATGAGGCATTTTTACTTAATGTAGATATTTAATTGTGTACATTATTGCTTATACCGTGCAGGTAAAACTTCTTGGGGATATAAGTCCCTTCTTAATTAAAACAGAACAGTGAGGCCACATTTGCTGATTTGTGAGTTGGATAGCCAGGTCCTGTTTTTGCCTGGGCTGTCCCTGGTGACTGACTGGGCTCTCTTTTGCAGCCTTTAGCTCTTTCCCAATCTAGCTTTCATATGTGTGATCTGCTTAAACAATTTAGGGTTTTCAAATAATAATGGGAAGGTTGGACTTGTGACAGCCATGCTGAAGATGCAGCCCCCAGAAATTTCAGTTACGTAGTTTCTGAGGCGGGTGCATAGGGATGTGAACGAGGGCATATCTTTTAATTTTTTGAAAATTTTCTTAGCATTTTTGCTCAGAGTTGCAATATGGACATTTTTATGAGATTGGCTTTGAACTTTCTTCAGACTCTGCAGTGATTTCTGGATTTGGTACTTCAGTGAAGGTACTCATTTACAATAATGAAAATCATCAGAGTCTGAAAGATTTTCAGAGTTTCCAGGGATTTAAGGATGATTTAATATATCCATCTACTCTATTGATGGGGAGAATAAGTGCTAGAGAGAGACAGAGACAAGGCCCAGAACAGTCAAGTGCGGGGAGGCAGAAGAAAGCCAGGATCTCCTAGACTGAGTCTGATATGCTTTATCTACATGACAGTTTTCCTCAGGTCACCTTCAGAGGGTCCTAAGAAGGGACATTTTATTGGTGCATGAAGTAAAAACGACACATAATCTAGTAATCAGGTATTTGCTTTATGCTTTTCTGTGTTCAGAAAATGGTGGCAGAAAATAGGCCGTGTGATGTGAATTTTTGTACAAATGTGTGGGGTTCATGTGAAATTTTGTTACCTATGTGTGAGCCTGGTGTTTTTCTTTAACTCATTGAGGACTTGCAGATGTGTTTTATTGTGCCAGGTATAGAGAAAATATAAGGGAGATATTATATACTAATTCCTTGCTGTTTTTGAATCTACAGTCTGTGTGGCAGATAAATATATGAAATGGTTATTATGCAGAACCAAAACTTGGCTCTGATCATTTCTACAAAGTCCAACTTTTTAACTGTATTTTAAATGCAGGATGGTCTATTCAGGAAGTTGAAAGTTGCAGTGTAAACTATGCAGACTACTATGGATTGTTTCTAAAAAGGTGGGAAGAGTATCATGCAAGTAGCAATGTTGATTAAAGAAATTGACAAAGTAGAAGGGAAATCTAAAGAAGAATTAACTCTTAAAACAGCAACAACAAAACAAAATAATGACTAATTTCCAGACCCTTAAAAACACTGTGGAAAACTTTAAGAAGTGGTCAGAATAAAAGCCTTCTGTAGACTATATTTTATTGGAGAAGATGAGAGTTACTGGTAAACTTCAGATCTTAAATCAAGTATACTTGATAAAATTGAAGGTGACTCTAGGTGACAGATATAGAATGTTCAATACACAATGTTTCAACATTGTGCTATGTTTGGAATTTTTCATAATAAAATTGTTGGGAAAAAAATGAAGATAGCCTGAGAGAATATATATAGACTGTATATGGAAACAGTGAAAGAAACCAGACTTCACAAGTTCTTTAATAAAATTTTAATTACTGGTCAAACCAAACAAGAAGAAATAATCCATATAGCTTTCAAGCCAGTAGGGGTAGGAGGGAAGAAATGCAGATAGCCTGACCGTTAAAATAGGAGATGTGCAGGGTGGCTTATGGAAACAAAGTGAAAAGAAGGTCTGGAATAAGATATGGTAAACACTTGTAAATATATTAGGTATCATACCAAATGTAAGTAAATGAAATGCAGCAATTAATAAACAGAGATTCTCATTGAATGGAATTTTTTTTTTTTTTAAGTCCAGGTCTATATTATCTCTAAAAGACACACTTTTAGACAAAGAAAAGAGAGAATGCCAGAGGAAAGTTTAAATGCATTGAAACTGATATGCCAGGAAATTTCTACTTACAGTACACAAAATAGACTCTAAGGCAAACAAAGCATAAGTCGAGATAAAGAAGATTATAAAGATAGAAGGACTAATTTATCAGGATACTAAATAATTGTGAACCTGTATATGTGCCTAACACTGCCTTAAATGTATATAAAGGAAAAATAGACTGTATTGCAATAATTTCAGATATGCAATTTTAGTGAAGTAATTTAACATACTTCCCTCAGTGAATGATTAGTAGAACAAGATCAAAATAGAAGAAAGAAAATATTTAAAAGAAAATAATGAAATAAAAACCACAGAGAATCAATAAAACCAAAAGCTGGTTCTTTGAAAAACTTGATAAACTTTGGGTAAATGTGATCAAGAAAAACAAAAGAAGAAGAAGGCAAAATAAGGTAAAGAGATATTAAAAAGCAGTTGAGAATGTGATAAACTAGGAAAATTTAGAAAAAATGGATAATTAGAAAATTGAAATAAATCTATAATCTTGAAAGAAATTGACTTATCAGTTTAAAATATACCAATCAAAAAACAACACAATAAACACTAGGCCCAGGTTATTTCAGAAAATAAAAAAGTAAAGGTCTTCACCTTAATTTGAAACTAGCAGAACTGTAATACCAAAATGAATACAGACAATAGAAAGCTTTTAAATTGAATATAGATGTCTTGCTCAAAAAAGTTAATCAAGTGTTAACTAAGTCCAGCATGACATATGTTCATGCATAAGTGCAAGTTAGAACTAAATAGTGTTTCTTTAAAGGAGGCAAAATTCATTTATTTAACAAATAATTTGTTGAGTGCCTTCTACGTGGTAGACACTAGGCTACTGGAGATACAGCAGTGAAAAACACAGTCAAGCATTTCTGCCCTCATGGAACTTAAATTCTAGTGCAGAAAGGCAGATGAGAACTAATAAGTAAGTAAAATATATAATATATTAATGATGCTGAATGCCAAGATAAAAAGGCAGAAAAAGGGAATAGGGAATTTGTGTATTTTAGGGACTGAGAGAGAACTTGACATTTTAGAATGGAATACCAAGAGACACATCTTAACAGTAGAAAACGTGTTTATATAGTTTACCATGTTAGATT